CTAACACAGTATTTGGGCTCTATTGGCTAAAGATGAATCACAGAGAAAAAAAAGGGACAAATCAGTAAGAGACTAGAACAAAAAGTTAACATATACCTCTTCACAGCATATATGACATTGTGCTTGGCATAGAAGAGCCTTAACAATTTACAGCAACATCATCATTGTACATTTCTCTTGCCTCCAACCAGATAACTATCAAGGACAGGCTACTGAATCTGTCATACAGATTGTGATCCTAGGTTGCAGCATTATTTACCTGGATATGACAGAAATAGTGAAAGGATGGACAGAATGCTTACGTATTATAGCTCTGAATATAAACTTTATGTGAGGTCATTTGCTGTAGTGAAAAGACATGAATTATTTTTCGGTGAAGTATGTCACTGGTCTCTGCAAAAAACTGGTCAAATCCCCAGCATTTCTCCTGATCTGCTTCAAGAATGTTTGCAAGAACAGGAGTGAGCAGTACTTGCAGGCCTCTGTGGAGACAAAAAAAGAGACAACAAGTTGGAATGTTTCTCATTTTGACATTATCTAATATCTCCCTAGTATACAGATCACAAGTAAGACATTTTTTACTTCTGGGGGAATTCTGCTCCAAAAAAATAAAATTCTGCACAAAAATTTAAAAATCATGCTACATTCAGCATATTTCGTACATCAAAATAGCAATATAATCACAAAAGTTTCAATTATTTTGATAATTTATTTCAAAATACTTGTGAGCATGTATTTCTGTAACAATACAGACAACAAAAAAGATTCAGGAAATGTTAATAAGCATATTAATATAGAACTCTGAGTAATAACTCATTTAAACTACAGTATACAACCATATTTTTCATACCCCTAAAGAGCAGAGCAAAGGCTTGGGGGAGTCAGGGATAATAAAGGAGCCTTGGAAGAGGGAAGTAATTGCTGGGAAGGAGCATGGACTTGAACTTGAAGAGTTGCTGAGTATGGGTGGGAAAAGTATGGAACTAGGTTTTTTTTGGGGGGGGGGAGAGCAGAGAAGAATTATTAGGGAGCTTCCCCCCTGTAGACTCTGGCTGACCTCTAGCCTCTCCCTTTCAGTGAGGAAAATCTACCCCGTCCCACGTATCTCTGTGCCCTCAATCGGCCACCCTGTAAATCTGCACCCTCTGTCCACGTGTACCTGCACCCCCTCAGCCAGCCCCTTCCCTTCATCTCCATGTGTTCCTGAACCTCCTATCCACATCTGTCTCTGTGTTCCCACTCAGCCATCCCTTTTCCCCTTGTAGCTCTGCAACCCTCCCCCTCTGCTCTGCACCTTTCTCCTCACTGTGGCCCTGCACCGCCATTCCCATTGAGTCCCTTCCATAGCCTGTTTTCTCCCACCAGCCTTTCTATGCTCATCTGACCCCCCAGCAGCCTCATGCTGTCTGTCTCCCCATAACCCGTGTTCTGACCTGGCCTGACAGGTGCTGTAAAGAAATGTTACCAAATTTCACACTGTCTAAGCACCCCGGCGGCTTCCATAATAAGCCAATAAACAAGCCAGTTTCATTTCAGAGCAAGACCAAAACAAGACAATTCCTGAAAGAACCCCAACACTCTATATGACTGGATCTCCAGTGTGCAGTTTAGGACTCTTGGCCCTGGCCCTAACTCTAACCCTTACACTTCTTGCCCATCCTTGCCCCCCACTTTGACCCCTCCTTGCTCACTGCTCACTTTTCCCCTACGCCTTGCAGCTCTCCCTGCCCCCTTTTCCCTCCCACTCCTGCCCCTCCTCATCCTCCTGACAAGCTGTTCTGCAACCCGTGGGCAGGCAGACACTGGGATGGGAGCCGGCCAGGAACCAGGAACTTGAACAGACAGAAAGTAGGAATTCGTGCAGGGAGGTGATGCCCAATTGGAGCCAAATGCCAATCATCAGTTGAGCATTCTGACTATCCTTGCCTGAGCACTGGCAGGGGCCAGGAGACAATCAACAACAAAAAAGCAACAATCTCCCAGCTACTTTAAAAGTTCTGAACAAGCAAAAAAGTAGCTAACATACACTGTCAGCCAAGCGAGCCTTAATTAGCCACATTTCTGCTTGTTTTCCATAGATTTGGCAACAACTGCAGTTACTGTGTTCCTGTGCCAGTGTGCCTTCTGGCAGGAAAAAGGTAAAACTGCATCAACTTTTCAGCAGAAGCTGTTTTTTGCCAAAAATTAAAAATATGCATGGTACATGAATTCCCCCAGGAATAAAAAAATGTTATGCATTGAGAAATTCTACAACATTCCTTTCTTTGCTGTTTGACAGCTTCTCTTCAATAATCTTGTCCCCTGTTTTTCCTAAACAGGGACAATATATAACATATCCACTTTTACGAGATTTGATTACCAAATACCTTTTGAATTTTCAAATACTGAATCCTAATTTAATCATGAAAGCAGGGATAGGGGCAAGAAGCACTCAAAGAAATGGTCTGAATTAAAAAGGATGAAATTCAATAAGGACAAATGAAAAGTACTCTACTTAGGAAAGAACAATCAGTTACACCCATACAAAATGGGAAATGATTGACTATGAAGGAAAGGGATCTCAGGGTCATAGTGGACCACTAGCTAATTATGAGTCAACAAGCACTGTTGCAAATAAGGAAACAATCTGGGATATATTAGCAGGAGGTTTGTAAGCAAGACGCAAGAAGAAATTCTTCTGCTCTACTTCACACTGCTTAGGCTTCAATTGAAATACGCTGTCCAGTACTGGGTGTGTCATTTCAGGAAAAATGCTGGACTTTTTCTAATTTGTCCTCAAAGAGCGACAAAAATTATTAAAGGTCTAGAGAACATTACCGCTGAGGGAAAATTGGGAAAAAACAACAACCTGGGTTTGTTTAGTCTGGAGAAGAAAAGACAGAGAGGGTGAATATGGTAACAGCTTTCAAGTACATAAAAGGTTGTTACAAGGAGGAAGGAGAGAAACTGTTCTTAACCTCAAAGAATAGGACAAGAAGCAAAACGCTTAGGCTGTGTCGACACTGGGCCACTTATTCCGGAAAATCAGCCGCTTTATCGGAATAAGCTGCGAGCTGTCTACACTGGCCCTTGAATTTCCGGAAAAGCAACGATGCTCTACTGTACAAAATCAGCCGCTATTCCGGAAAAACTATTCTGCTCCCACTCGGGCATAAGTCCTTATTCCGGAACACTGTTCCGGAAAAGGGCCAGTGTAGACAGCCCAGTAGTCTTTTCCAGAAAAAAGCCCTGATCGCGAAAATGGCGATCGGGGCTCTTTTCTGGAAAAGTGCATCTACATTGGCCACAGACGCTTTTCCAGAAAAAGGGCTTTTCCGGAAAAGCAGCCTGCCAATGTAGACGCCCCTTTTCCGGAAAAACTGAAAACGGAATAGTATTCCGTTTTAAGCAGTTCCGGAAATTCATGCCAGTGTAGACACAGCCAACAGGTGCAGCAAAGGCGGCTTAGGTTGGACATTAGGAAAAACTTCCTATCAGGGTAGTTAAGTACTGGAATAAATTGCCTAGAAGATTATGGAATCTTCATCACTGGAGATTTTTAAGAGCAGGTTAAACAAATACCTGTCAGGGATGGTTAGACAATATTTATCCCTGCAATGTGTCAGAAAAAGGACTACGAGACCTCTCGAGCAAGGTTTCCTCTAAGCTGTACAGTAGCACAACCCCACAGGTGCGTAATCAGCCCTGCTGAGTCAGGGGCTCAGTGCTCCGTGCACAGAGCTTCCTGGCTGGGTGGGGCTGATTAAGCAGCCGTGGAGCTGTGCTGCCATGCAGCTTAGAGAGAACCTTGCTCTTGAGAGGTCTTGTAGTCCTCTCGTAGACTATGATGCCATGAGTTTAAAGTGGGGAAGCAGTCATCTTAAATACAGGCAGTCCCCGGGCTACGTACAAGATAGGAACTGTAGGTTTGTTCTTAAGTTGAATCTGTATGTAAGTCGGAACTGGCGTCCAGATTCAGCCGCTCCTGAAACTGACCAGCGGCTGACTACAGGAAGCCAGAGGCAGAGTTGCTCTGCCCCGGGCTTCCTGGAATCAGCTGCTGATCCGTTTCAGCAGCCGCTGACTTGGGCCTGGAATCAGCCGCTGATCAGTTTCAACAGCGGCTGAATCTGGACGCCAGTTCCGACTTACATACAGATTCAACTTAAGAACCCCAGGCGTCTCCAAGGCTGAAACTGACCAGCAGCGGCTGAATCAGGACGCCTGGGGCAGAGCAGCTGGGGTGCTGCTGGGGTGGTCCAGTAGTGCCGAGAGCGGCGCTGCGGGACCAACCGGCAGGGGCCCAGCTGCTCTACCACAGGCATCCCGAGAAAAGCCCCGTTCGTAAGTATGGATCCGACATTAGTCGGATCCGCGTAACCCGGGGACTGCCTGTATCTTGTATTTGTACCTCTTCTTCATTACAGGCTAATGCAGAGGTGAATACTATTATCATGCTGGTATGCATATACAAATAAAATCTGGATCCAGCAGGCCTCACTGGTGGAATTTTTAAGAGTGCCTAAGTGACACAGAAGCACAAATCCTGTTTAAAGTAAACAGATACTGTGGTCTTAAGTCACCCTACATACCTATATTTTTCTAATAGATGGCACAGTCTCCCTCTCCCTGCCCAGGCTGGTTCTTATCCATATTGCTCTGTCTTGCCAGTGAGTGCTCTTGGGTAAATGAATAGTTACAGAGGCACTTGGCTGGAATGGACAGAAAAGCATTTCATAGCCTATAACATAATATAGGGCTGCTGTAAAAATTCTAAGTCAGAGACAGCCAGAGTTCCAAACATTTTATACAGAGCAAATAATGAGAAAAACCTTACTCAAGTGTCATTGTGATATTTGGTAAAAAATTCAAATAAGCTTACTTAGAAAGACTACATGAAATAGGCATATCTCGACTCCACTCAATTGGTCCATTTTCTGCTTTCTGTACTCCAGATATAGCACCAGAAGGCTTTCCAGTGATTATTTTATACCTATGAGACATTAAAAATAATTATACAAAATAAATATGTAATCCTTAATTACTATTTCTTCAAGTATGAGTCTAATAAGTGGATCCTCTAATAGGACCATGCCATGTTAATAAAAATTGTAAATCTAGTGCAACAATTTCGACCAATCTGCTGCTCAGTAGGAATGCAAAGATCAGGGCTTCATCTCCAGACTGACAGAGGGCACTGAAACAACACTTAAGACATGTCTACGCTACGGAGATCAATCCTCAGGATGTTGCTCTTCTAGCATTTGATTTAGCAGTTCTAACACAGGCCCTCCCCCCCAAATCGAATGCTGAGGCAGCTCCCACCAGCATCCTGTACTCCTCATTCTGCTAGGAGTAAGGGAAGCCAATGGGATCATGTGCTCCTGTCGGTGTCCTGCAGTGTAAATGCTGCGGCAGCTCGGTTTAAGGTAAACTGAATCCAGCTATGCAAAATTTTGCATAGCTGGATGGCATACCTTAAGCCAACCTGCCTGTTCTAGTGTAGCTCTCGGCTTAGGCTAGGTCTACACTGCAAAGAAAAGTCAGAAAAAGATAAACAAATTTAGATCCGCAATTTCTTTATCTTTTTCTGTTTTTCTTTCGAAAGAGGCTTTTCCAAAATTTGGCCCGTCTACATGGCACCAAATTTCAGAAAAACCTCCTCTTTCAGCACATCCCTTCTTCCTCGCAGAAAGAACGCATCCACTTTTTTGGAAATTGTTCTGAAAAAGTGGAAGCATTCCTTGAACGCAGCATAGTTTTTCTAGGATACTTGCGATATCATGGAAAAGCTCTGCAGTCTAGATATAGCCTTAGGCTGTGTCTAGACTACATCCCTCTTTCGACAGAGGGATGTAAATTAGACACATCAAAATAGCAAATGAAGTGGGGATTTAAATATCCTGCATTTCATTTGCATAATCACATCATGGCGCTCTTTTGAAAAAACGCCATTTTGAAAGTAAAACCATGGTCTAAACGCAGTTCTTTCGAAAACGGCAGGCTTTTTCGAAAGATCCTGTACTCCTCAAAAAATAAGGTTTACAAGATCTTTGGCAGGCTTTTTCAAAAGATCTTGTAAACCTTATTTTTTGAGGAGTACAGGATCTTTCGAAAAAGCCTGCCGTTTTCGAAAGAACTGCGTTTAGACCATGGTTTTACTTTCAAAATGGCGCTTTTTCAAAAGAGCGCCATGATGTGATTATGCAAATGAAATGCAGGATATTTAAATCCCCACTTCATTTGCTATTTTAGTGTTTAATGAAAAGAAACACCTTATGTTGAACTGAAAAAGGCCCTCTGGATGACACAGGATTGAGAAATATTACAAAAAGGTTCAGGGAACTCTCCAGAAAAAATTAAAATGTTAAATTCAGATTTTTGTGTCTGTATAGTACAGACATTTACCGGCTTGAACATGCAATGTTCCAGGGCAACGGAGAGCATAATATGACCAAAAATATTAATTTGGGAGAAAAGGAATACAGCTTGGCCTCTGCAAAGATTACATGAATGTTAAAATAGCCACCAATTTTGGCACAATATTGTACATTCACAATTTTTTTTTCCAAATCTTGAACAGAAAATTCAGGAATAAGTGTGAAAGGAGAGAACTGAATTAAACTGTATTTAGCTCTAAGAAAGACATGGGAGTTTCAAACAGCTAATGGACATCAGAGGCAACTGCTTTTATGCTTCATATGTTGTCTAAAACATTAAATGTATAATGTATGATAGTAAAGCCCTGCATAAACTGTTGGAAAATAGCTGATTTTTAAATTGCTGTGTAATTACACTCTAGAATCTAAACTTTAATTTAAAAAGCATTTATGTCCCAAACTCCAATTTATGCCAAATCCCTGTCCATAAAAGGAGAAGGAAAGAGAAGACACATTGCCTCCTTAGCATCAACAGCCTCCTGGATACCAAAAACAGCACTCATACTTTCCTTAGTGCCAGGAATCCCAATTGTCCTCCACCCAATTGGCCAAATTTTGGGATGTCAATTGACAACACCTAAATGGCAGCTACTTGTGGAAACACAAGTTTCTAATGAGATGCATAAGGTACTAGTCTTGTTATGAAATCTTTCCAGGGCACTAGCCTGCTAACCATGAAACTTGCCCAACTTTTGCATTATTTTTACAGTGTTTGCTATGGGCATGTGCACAGAACTCTTGCTATGGATATTTTTATGGGTTGAATTAATTTACAGACAGAACTCTTTCTCTAAATTACTCACATAACTTCCTTATTCCTGCGAGGCCCTTCAAAAGGTCGGAATGGTAAACTTCCTGTAGCTGCATGGTAAAATGTCACCCCTATGCTCCACAGATCAACTGTTGCTCCATACTTCTTCTGATGCTCCTTTCTCAACACTGCTCGCTCATACATATCAGGATGCTTAAGGGGGAAAAAAGGGGAAAACAATTTAGAACTATGTGCCTGATTATAAAGCACCAAAACTCAAGCAAGCAACTATACCAGGATATGCCAACTTTCTAAGCACTTCTTTCATCAAAAAAGGAAGTTAGCGTGTGCTGTAGATTTGCATAAGATTTTCACACTACATGTACTTCAAGAACATACTGCAAAACTGTTCAGATGGCGCCAGTAGCCGCTTTATAGTCACCTTTGTTACAATAAAGTTCAAAATCTAGTAAAGGAAATTTAGTGAAGAAAATGCAGATGAAATTACCACTTAGATGAGAAAAGCCACACAAAAGGAGAGGAAAAGAAACACTACAAAAACTACTGTTTCGGAAAATATATTAAGAAGAGGAGCATAGAGAAAAAGCATTGAGAACATTTATTAGCATATTAGCATGAGAGGCATGTAAACAAAAGCAGAGGGAACAACTGTTTTCTTTCTGCTTTTCCACAAAAAAAATCCTTATTTTCAAATTCAATGCAAGTATTTTAGCTATACTGACTCCTTTACCTGTCTCTTTTTGGAAATAAAGAACTCAGACTGCACACGGGAAATTCCCAAGTTACAGTGCCCTTGCACACTGGTGAATACAAATATCAAAAAGTGGATCTGAGCAATACCCAGAATCATCCAAACAGTTCACAAGAAAATATCCAAAGAGGAAGAGGCAAGGAAGCTCTAATAAATCTATGATGCAAGTCTTTATATATCCCAATGAAACATGGAGAATCTGAGTCAGGAAATGACATCAGTATATTTGTTTCCCAGATCAGAAGAGGCCTGGCATGACAAACAATGCCAAAAATGTGTCTCAGCTATTCAGTTTTCACTAAGAAATACCCCATGCTTCAGTAAGTCCATCAATCAGAAATTAAATGATTTACCAAATATTCTTCTGTACCATAGAGAGAAACAAATTGTTCATCATCTTCCAACTCTCTAGCAGCTCCAAAATCGGTCAGTTTGTAAACAGACTGACCATCTTCACCTATAACACGCATTATATTGCCTGGTTTGATGTCACGGTGCACTATTCCATTTTCTCGCAGATGATTCATCCCAGCCACTTAAATAACAGAGTTGTACAGAATTTAGTACACATATATCAACACAGACAGGACACATTTTAAATACCAAAAAAAGCATATATAGGTCCATAGATTATTGTTTTTCAGTGGGTACACAGGAGAAAGGCAAGGACCACTGCTGCTACTACAATTAGAATATCCTATTGTCTTTATACCAAGGGAGCCAAGAGCCTCTGCAGGCCCTTGGGCAGTGTGCATGGAGGGCTGGTTCTGTGCTCTTGGAAGGGATAGAGCCTAGGTGGAAAGAGGGCGGCACCCTCCCCCCACTCCCGCCACTCAGAGCGGATTGCAGTGCGTGGTGTAGTGATTTAAAAGAGCCCAGGGCTCCAGATGCTGATGCTGCTACTGGACCTTTGAATTGCTGGGCTTTGGGGCAACTGCCCCCGTTGTCCCTCTTCCCCCTGCCAGCAGGCCTGCTCTATACTAATCAGCTTTGCCTTTCCTTCTTCAAACAACAAATAATGGTATCTCTTGTTCTCAAAAATGCCTCTAAGTAAGAGTTTATAATCCTTAGTGATGTTATTCTCGTCTCAAAGGAATCTCTACAATGTAGGAAAAAAGAGCTGGCAATGGGTTTTGCCATAACCCTTTGAACACTGAGCAGATAAAGTGGACATATTTTAATTGCCAGATTTCCTGCAGTGATAAGCGCCAGATATTCTGGGATGATCTATCACAAGAAAGCATTATAATGTGAGACAAAAAACAAACTTTGCATTTAAAAAATGATTAAAAAAATTATAAATAGTTTCATAGTGTAACTACATTTGTTGAAATAATAGTTTAAAAGTAATACTATGATCCAACTATATTGTTCAACTGACTCGAAACTAGGAATTTTAATATTCCAATTCCAAACTAAACCAAACAACACAACAAATAAGACAGTTCAAAAAAATAAATTCCACATACCCACATCTCTTAGCACAATTAAGAACTCAGATTCTGGCAACCCATAGGCATTAGATGGTTCTTCTAAAACAGTGTATAAGCTTCCACATGGACAAAATTCCATAACAAGTACTTTGTGTCTACTGGTTGTCTGAAAGATTAAAAAAATATAAAGCTTTGGTAATGAGTTGAAGACTATTAATAATGCAACAGGTTATGTCAAGTTATACTCTCCTATTTGTAAAGCTTTGTAATCTGATAGTACTTCATACACAAGTCTCACTCTGGTGACTTTAAAAGAACGAAAAGAAAGAAAAAAATTGATTCAATTTAGAAATTTGTCTTGAGTTTGGAAAAAACAAGAGCCCATAAGATTATGGGTGCTGGCCCGTCTTTACCTTTCAAATGTCCCTCTCAGAGTAGCCGGTAGCATAGGGAAATGAAAAAGGAACTAAAGTGGCGGAAGAGCATGTAGCAGCACGTTCCCTTCTCTCTCCTTCGATTACTCTCCTTCCCCCAAGTCTTTACTGAACTCTGCATTTTGGTTGTCTCCTGGCCAACCTCACTTTGAGAACTGCTACTTTAATTTACCCCTGGATGCAGTTCTACAACTGCTCTATCATTATTTGAACTGGTTGTACAGCAAGATGCCTATCTTCTGATCGTCTTGTGGCTAGTGGCCAGAGCCCCTGCTGGGCAGAGGAGCAGGTACCTGGCCAAGACCGGCAGCGGAGCCCAGAGGCCAGGATTGGTAGGGGGGTTGGCCACCAGGAGGCTGGCTACCCCCTGGAAGAGCCCAGAGACTGGCAGCAGAGGGGCCAGAACTGACCTCCCCATGTCCAGTAAAATCTCTTATTTGGGACCAGTCAGGTTCCAAGGGTGCTGGACCAGGGAAAGCCAATCTATACAACCTCATCCCATAAAGGTGAGTTTATAAGAAATGCGTATACAGGGATCATGGATGGTATTATTACAAACAATATCAACTAGTTACCTCTTCTTCAATAGCAAACAATTTGACAATGTTCTTGTGATTCAGTTTCTTTAATACTTCAAATTCTCTCATCTGAACATCCACCGGACGAAGGAAGCTTATGTTGTTGAATACTTTGACAGCATATAAATCCCCAGTTTTCTATCAGAAAAATATTCAGATTATTTTTAAAAATCTAAGTACAAAAAAGCCTTATAGTTAAGATTTATATAGTATCAGTCATCCTGAAGGAGCCCAAACATATTTTCAACTTACGTACAACTCTGGTATAATTGGAGTTGCTCTGTAATAATTTATATGAATATTGAATGTTCATCTCATGATTGGAGTGTTTACGATACGAATATATTGTTCAGTTTAATAGGTGGCAGTAAGCAAAAATAAACAGCAAGTCAAAAATGGCTCAAGATGAGCTACCTCTTTACAAACACTTGAGGGTTGTTAAGAGACAATGCCAGGACACACAAAGAACTGTAATCTCAAAACAATTTGAAAGATAGAGACAAAATATATAATCTAATGACAAAGAACAGCCTCAACTCCAATCTAAATTCAGGTAATAAACACCAAGTAGGGGATAATTTTTCACAAAGATGGAAGATGGAGAAATCTGGGGGGAAACTTTAGATGTTAGTTTCTGTACAAAGACTAATTGAAAATCTTCTGTAGGTTGGATCTCTGTAGTCCGGCACTCTCTGGTGCGGCAATATCCGTGACCCACATGATTTTAATTAGCCAGATGTACACTTATGGGTATCACCAAGTTTCCCACAGTCCCATAAAGTTTGTTTATAGCCATTAGTGCTGTCTCTCAGTGTTCTGTGTTGTTATTTAGCTGTAATTTACCCCTAAATGCCTTCCAATAGTCCAGGAGAAGTATTGGTAATGCTGCTAGACAATATTAACCTCCCATGGTTCAGCAACTGTCAGTTCCCAAGGGTATCGGAACAGAGAGGTTTAACCTGTAGAAAAATGTTTTAAGACCACCAAATCCATAGCCATAGCATTAAAAATGACAAATAATACAGTTTAGAAAAACACACTGTTCCTGCTTTATGCCCAAATCTTGGAAACAGTCACTCACATGGATTTAGTAGGGTTGCTCATGTAAAAGTGTGTGCAGGATTGGGGCCTTATATATCTGCTGACCTGAATTCTAGGATTTAGCATTATTTCTACATCACTGGATAGCGATTACATCTCAAACAGCAGTGATACTCCATATTCTATTACAGGTCTATGATATTCTGAACTATTTCAGAAGGGAAAAAAAGTGGCCCTCCAAAAAAAACCTCACCTTGACAGATAAAAACCCACTCAGTATTCATTTAAAATTATTAAATAATTGTCAATATTATCTGTAGTTAAGAGAAGATATTAACAGCAGACTTTTTCTCACTATTTTTATATAAGTTAGTAAAGCAGTTAAAAGAAATTAAGACACAATTAAGCAGTCTGGATAACATTAAAATAAATTTACACCTAGAAACACAAGTGCAATGAGAAAGGGATCGTGTTTTAATTTGTATTCACATAGCACTTAGCACGATGGTTACCTGGAACCTGACTGTGGCCTTGGGGTACTATCATAATAAATAATTTTCAGATATTAGAAAATAAATTCTAAGTAAAGAGATCCCAAACAGAATATTTTTCTGGAATGAAGATACTACCACCCCACTCAGCCTTTCCCATAAAATGAATTCATAAATAACAGTTCATTTAAAAAGATATGGATATATTTATTTATTTCTAATTTAAAAGGGACAAGTACATTTAGTAACTGAGGCCCCATAAGAGTCTTATAAAAGCTGGTGTTTACTTACACAGACATATCCAACTTTAAAAAAAATCAAAACTTTTCCATAAAAGGCTGATGAACAGATTTCTATGGCTTTCATGTTACTGATGCCAGGCATAATGATAGTTTTCTTACTGAATTCAGCCTGTGTATTTAATATATAAGCAGTATTCACTGCAGAGCCAATTATTCTTTCATAAATTAAAAGAAAAACAAAGTCTAAGCATTAACAAAGGGAACAAGATGGGAAGACTATTTAAGAATTAATACAAGGACCCCTGTTCTTGAAAAAATATTTATTAATTGTAATTAGTTTATTCCACACAAACCTTATGTCGTCCACGAAAAACATTTGCAGTGGCTCCTTGTCCTAAAATGTCAGATAAGAGCCATAGGTAATTGGAAGTGCTCTGCATGTTTCCTCTTGACTAGATGATTTTATTTTCAAACTAAAAAATAAAAATATATATATTACTCAGCACACTGCACTCAACAAAGTTAAAGGAAAATCAATGCATCCTTCATGAAACAGAAAAACACTATTACAGAGATTTAAAGAATTAACAGAGAAATTAAAAATCCACCAATTAGAGAAATGGGGAGGCAAGAAACAGAGACAAGCTAAATGCTACCAGAAATGAAAATTAACATCTCAGATATAAAATCTGTCACAGAGTTTAAAGTCTTCTTTTTCCCTTCCTCTAGTAGAAAAAGTCAACTAAATATCAAATGAAGGTCCCAATGACCATTTTTGTCAGTTTCTAAATGTGGCACAAAGAGACCATAAAAGATAGAAGAAAATAATTCCAAAAAATGTGGGAATTGTTTCTTTCCTTTAAGAGAAACACATTTCTATACATTTTATGGCACAGAAGGATGCATGAGGTTTAACAGGGATCATTTGGGTCAGGAACATGCATAATAAACAACCAATTTATTATTGGCATGTAAGATTTTTACTGACAGCACGTAGCTTATGTAGAAATGTATATACGGATAGTATTTAAGACATTAGGTATCTATACTGAAAATTATGATCTTAAAGGTAAATTTGGGTCACCAGGATGTGACAGGCTGTGGAGTGATTCTGTTTAGGCATAGGGATAGGAGTCAACCTATCTTTCTCTGTCTAGTGAGGTGTATAGTGTACATTGTATGTTTCACAATCAAAATCTATTTGCATTATGGAGCCACCAACTAATCAGTAACAGATTGTGAGAGGTATAGAAAGGTCCACATAGCAGGAGGTGATACATGTGGCATTGCAAGGAAAGAGACCATATCCTTTCACTGAGGAGGCAAGAGGGCAGCGTGATTTTTCTCGTGAATGGAAGATCACCAAACCTGGCTGTAATATGCTGCGACGAGGTGTCTACTCCACACCCCATTGTAAAGTTTTAAGATGGCCAATTAACTCCATAGGCTGCACCTGGAGGACTAGCCAGGGAACAGAGGACTAATTGGGAACAGGCTCAGCTAGGCAGGAACAGACAAGACTTCTAAAGCCAGGGAGCAGAGAGGAGCTGCAGGAAATGAGGTTGCAGCCACTCCTTGAGAGAAGAGAGGCACGTTAGGGCCAAATGACAGTCCATAGTTATTTCTAGAAATGAGAGAGGAAGGTGAACACAGAGGATGGGAAAACCAGGAAGGTAAGAAAAGACTCAGGGGAAAGCAGCAAGGTAGGACAGTGTAGGCCATAGCTACTGACTGAAGGGTTTCTGAACTCTATCCCAAAAAGAGAGCACAGGCTCAGGTTCCACATCAACCTTTAGAAGTGCGCCACAGGTCAGGCAGCAGACAGAGTGCGAGGGATGGTTTGTCCAGGAAAAGCTTTGTCACACTGCACTCAGTAGTAGAATATGGTGACCCAGCTGGAGGGCCAAGTCTTGAAGATGAGTCTGTGATTCCTGGAGCAAGAGAGGCTGCAGGGCAGCACAAGATGGGTGAAGACACTGCCAGAGATGGGAGCCATGTCTGGTAGCACTAATCTGCAGGATGGCCAGGAGGAGGAAGCTAGTGTTGAGCAGGCCCTGTCACAAATGCTGGGAGGATATTGGGTAAGCTTTTGTTCTAAAATTAAATCATGATTGTAATTTATAACAGACAGATCAAAGTAAGTTACTAAGCAAAAAATAAAACAAAACATGCCATCTAAGCCTAATACACTAAGAAATCTGATATATGCAAATTGTTACCCTAACAGTCGTTCTAATTATCTTTTTCACAAGACAGGCAGCCTCCTAGCTTGGGCCCAATCTTTTCCCCTGTTCAGTCTTATGTTTCCAGCAGGCATCTTGGGTACTAAGTGAGGGTCTCTTGGCATCTGGCCACTACCCTATTTTTTTGTCCCCCCCCTTTATGTCACCTTTGCCCAAGGAGGAATTCTTTGTGTTCAGTTCAAACTTTTCTCACCTTGAATGGAAAAGTACAAGATCCAAAATGGGTTCCAGCATCAGGTAGCCTGGCCATATGTCTGGAAGAACCACAGTCCAGGCTTGCAGGAAAAACAGAGTATTCACAGCTTGTTGGTTTGGGTATCAAGCAATTATGTTTCCAGACTACCACTAATGGCCCTCATTAGTGCATCTAGATTCACACTTCACATTTCTAACTTCATGTGCAAGAATGAAACATGCACAGAAATATATACATTCAGTAGATTATAACTTTAAAAATTATGTCACATTGTGCATCTTGCATAAAGCACCTCTGAATTAGGCATATTCATAAGCCAATTTGCATAACACATGGGAGTGGTGTGACACTGCTGTCCCAGGATAGGAAGCCAAAGTCCAAGGGTTTCAGCCCAAAGCAAGGGCCTGTAAGCCAAACTAGGGATGTTAAAAATTGTTTATTTGTGTAAATGTGCAACTGCTAAAATATTTAGAGGTTCCCCATTTACATGCAGGGAGGAAGGCAGGAGCTGGTGCTTGTGAGGAGCCAGCTTTTAAGCTGGCTCCCCTGAGCAGCAGCTTCCACCTGCCCCGCCCCCATGTGTACCAGCTTCCTCCTGCTCTCCCCTATCACCTGCACTGCTGCCTCTCGATCTTTTAAGCCAGCTTCCCCCACAAGTACCAGCTTGAGCCTGTCCTCGTCCTCCCCCTCCACCCTGCTGCCTCTGTGGGAGGCAATGGGTGGAGGTCAGGCAGCTCCGCAGGAGCCGGCTCCCCACAGGCACCAACTCCCACCTCCCACCTTGCTGTGATACAGAAGCAGCAAGGGGGAGAGGTTCCGTGTAACTGTTAGGATAAACTGATGTGCTCAGGCTTATTGGTTAATTGTGTACACAGATACACACTGACATCCCTAACCTGAACTCTGCCACCTAAGGAAGCCCTCAGGCTTCAGCTTCAGCCCTGAGCCCCAGAAAGTCTAATGCCAGTCCTGGTGACCACATTAAAATACAGTCCTGACCCACAGTTTGAGAACGACTGCTCTATAGCATATGACAGTAACTAAAATTAAGGCTAGATTCTAGACCATGTGTTATGTTTTTATTTTATATCAATCCATTTGTTTCTAATATTTGTATTGGTTGTTCTCAGATCTTTACATTTTATTAAATTTTTACTCGTTTTCTCTGTAAACAGACAAGAGCTGTGCTCTACGATGTAACTAGTGAGCTGGGAGTACTATTGTTTCGGGAGTTGTGAATCTGTGAATTCTTTGAGCACCAGTGGACCAGAGCTGGACACTTCAGGGGGTCCCTCAAAGGGCTCGAAGAGTGGAATATGCCTAACTCTAACCTGCAGGGGAAGAGCAGACCTGTGTAGGCTGAGAGAGAAGGACTTGGATTGCCTGTGGTTGGTAGAGTTGGGATTCTGACCCCCGGGAAGGCTCAGACAAGGCTTCCTCATGCTAAGGGCAGGTGACAGCAAGGTGCCTCACAACTCTGGGAGCATGATAGGATTACTGAAAGATATGGCCTTACAATCTGGAGCATCCATGCTTACACTGAGGTAAGTTTCTAAGAGGTGTAACAGTTAACTCGAACTAAGGACTTAGTTCGAGTTAATGTTTGACTGCCGCGTGTAGCCACGGGCAGTTAGTTCGGACTAGGGGGATTTAAAAATGGTGTCCGGGTGGGAAGATGCAAATAAAGCCTGGGATATTTAAATCCCGGGCTTCATTTGAAACTTCGAATGCCTACATTAGCCTCCCTAGTTTGAAGTAGGGGGCTAGTGTAGACATACCCTTACAGAAAAAAACAACAACAAATGGTCTGGTAGCACTTTATAGACTAACAAAACATGTAGATGGTATCATCTACATGTTTTATTAGTCTATAAAGTGCTACCAGAATATTTGTTGTTGTTTTTTAACCAATTGTTTAGTTGGTTAAGTCATTAGGATGTGGAAGGCAACGTGCTAGCCAGCCAACACTAATTTTTTTCTCCCTTCCCTTATTTATACTTGGATATGGACTTGTAATGTTCCATTCATCTGAAGAAGTGGGTAGTTCCCACAAAAGCTCATGATACCATTTACACATTTTGTTAGTCTTTCAGATGCTGCTAGACTATTTGTTGCTTTTTACTGTGCAGGCAACCAGCAGAAGATGCCAGAGTGGTAAGGAAATCTTGTTACACAGCATAGTACCACAGTACACTATCACTGAAAAATTGCTCTCTTATTTTTCCATATACAGTAGATTCCGGATTATCCGACCTTCGGTAATCCGACATTCCGCTTTATCCGACCCTGCAGCTCCCGGAGACAAAGCAACGTCGGCATCAGTGGCTCCAGGGCACAGGCCGGGAGAATGGTCCCACTCGCTGCCCCATCGCTCTCCTGGAGCCGCTGATGCTGCTCCTGCTGGCACCGCTTCGTCCCCGGGAGCTGCAGGGTCGGATAAAGCGGAATGTCGGATTACCGAAGGTCGGATAATCCGGACTCTACTGTAATGCATGCTGGAGAGATCTGCTTGTCACTTTGTTACATACATACCATCACCTGTGTTTCCATTAGAATCTGGGTTTCCGTCTTTCCCCCCCCCGCAGGAGCGGCATCAGCGGCTCCAAGAGAGTGACAGGGCAGCGAGCGGGGCCATTCTCCCGGCCCGTGCCCTGGAGCCGCTGATGCCGCTCCTGCTGGTGTTGCTTTGTCCCCGGGAGCTGCAGGCATCAGTGGCTCCAGGAGAGCAACGGGGCAGCGAGCAGGGCTGGGCGCCCGGGAGCTGAAGGGAGGGAAGGGGCCAGGGCCAGGCAGGGATGGAGACCAAGAGACCCCGGCTACAGTAGAGTCCCTGTCATCTGATATTTTTGGTAATCTGACCACCTGTCAGTCCCGTTTAGGTCGGATGATAGGGACTCTACTGTAATTATAACAAACACCTAATTATAGCCAGAAGGTCATATGCACAACGGTACAAATAAGTCATTGCCTCTATGAAATTTTAGTTTGTACCGACTTTGCTAGTGCTTTCTTACACAGTGTGTTGTAAAACCAG